ACTATGATTGGTTTATTACTTAAATTAGCATTCTGAATAAAAAGAATAGAATTTTAATGATGATTAATAAAGGAATACATTATCTTTGTCTTCGGACAGTAAGTATTTTATTATTTCTTTTGGAGATTTTCATTGAAGTAATCATGGCATAATAAAAGATTACTTTAAGAATTTGCCTCAGGAAATCTTTATCTACAAATTTTGTTTTAATTTTATGACACTTTAGCAAGGCATTGCGTACAATTCTGAGAGAAAATAAATTCAGCAAGATATCTGAACACTTGTAAATCACTGGCTTTATACAGTAGCTTGTTAGGTCGTTATGGGTCTCTTGTAGAACTTTCTACTTATCTTGTAAAGATCACTTGACAGTAACTAGTGTAGCTATCTGAACTAGATTGACCTATGTATGCAATGTGGTACTTCATCCGAATAGTACGACGCTATGGTTCTAAAATCCAATTGCAAATTTCACTTATAATATGTAGACTCTCATCATACTACACAATAACTCCAAATATGAAATAATTACAGTGCATTATAGTGATCGGTAGTCGCATTTATCCTGTCAGGTGACCACATTATACACCTTTAGGTAAATTTTGACCAGCGCCTTAAACAACGACACTGATAACTCTCCTGTAATGATTTCACATACAGATGGAGTTCAGTTATAATATGACTGTTCTACTAGGAAATTCTCTCACTATAACCAAGAGAACATGACTTTTAGCCAGCTTGTTATTATTTCCTTTTGATAGCTGAAGTCAGTATGATTTGAACTTATTCAAGTCTCTCAGCTGAGTGGAATCGGTATTTAGACATCTTTGAACTGGTTGGAAAGCTGTCCTAGTTGTCACTTACTGATGATTAGAGTAGCATACGCCTCCTGATAAATGTCAGTGAGGGAAAAATCTCCATTCAACATTTTCTGTCTACCGTTATGATGTAGCAATTTTTAGTCGAATATTGGGGGACCGATGGCTGAGAAAAGCTACCAAGTACATGGAACTAAAAGTAGTTTCGGATGATTTCTCTCAGTAGCATCTTCTACTGTTGGTTGATTACAATCACAAGTTATATGAGATCTCAGCATATCAAGTAATGTAGCACATATGACAGAGTTTCAAATATCTGCCAGAAAAATGTATGCCTTGTTACCTGATAGAAATCTGAGAAAAGGAAGATACAGTTGTTAATTCATGGAAAATCTTTATGTCTTAAGCTGTGTTATTTAGACTATGAGCCGAAGCCGTAATAAGTAATTAAACTGTGTAGTGCTAAATTATACATATTACTACTGAATAAACCACACATTTTATTATTAACGTCAAAGTAGATTATATAGAAAAGTGAAGTGTGTTTACAAGACCTCTGTAAACCAGTGACTGCTTATAGAACAAATGTAGAGGCTAACAAAAGTAGCATGCCATAAAATAATAACAGTAAACAGTACTGTTACAGATTTACAGTACAATTTATACTTTATATATCATCAGAATGTAAACAGCTAGTTCATTTAAACCAGTATCTTATCCATAATAAAGCTACACTTACGTAACCGATCCATTACTGAGTTTTTAAAAAATCAGAGATATAAAGTGTAGGATATTTCAGGAATTATATGTTGAAAGGTGACATTCAAGATCTATGCAAAGGTGCTTCATCTTTGTATCCTGATGATATTCACGTATTAACTGATGATGGCTAACAGCAGAGTCGAATACATCAGGATTTCCATGCTCTAACTATATTGATTATGTCTACTGTACAAACAAAAGTAATTTATTCGCATTATAAAGATACATCATGAAGTAGTGTTGAAGAGAAAGAATTCCAGTTGAAAATTAATTCTAAAATGCAAATATTTTCTAATTATTTTATTTGGAACTTGAATGTTAAACAGGTTATATTGTGAATAGAAAGACCTGTAGTCATTCAAAATTAGTGATATTTGTTCACATAGTGGCCAGTAAATGTCCCGGGAACACCACTTAGATAACTGGAAAATATTTAGGCTGTGAGATTCTCGAAATCTTCGGCACGACTTTATCATGGAAAAATTACATTATTCCTTGTTATCATTTACGTTGATAATTTCTAACATTCAGAAGCTTTTATTAATGGGCACTTATGCGTCTGTAAAGGATATAGCCAAAAATATGAACCTTCCATACTAGCATTTCATCTGAATGTAGTATTGTTCATTCAACAGAAAGTTATGATTGCGAAGTGTTTCGGAGTGTTAAATGAAGATAAAGTAGTCCTTGGATTTCAGTGAATGCCTATTCGTTATTGATTTGTAACGTTATTCATATTCCCAATAACAAAATAACTTGATTCTGAAAGTGTCGGACTGAAGTAAATTTACTGATGAGGGTGCTGTAAGAATGACTGTATATCAGTCAGATGTGAGGAATAAGTACAAGTGAGAGGAATTCATTCAACTTTAATTAAGTATTGCTTGAATGATATTGCTTTTGGCAATAAGATCCCCCTGAAATATTCCGAAATATCTTTAAAAAAACATAAACTACTGAGGTCATTTATTTGTAAAACACCTAATAAGGGAGTGATGGTGAAATATTTTCACTTTTTGGGATTGTAGAAATATCTTTAAAACGGTTAAATTTCCCAAAACTCCGATTACGTCAAAACTGACGTCCAACTGTTATTGTAAAGAGGCTAACATGATGAAAAAACTGCTAGTTTTCTTTTCTGTAGAAATATAACGTTACAATCTCTTCACTAAAAATTTGCACCATACAGACAGACAGACAGAGTGATGATTATACAGTGCTCGATGTTACATCGGTTACATCACTTTGTAAAATATAAAACTTGAAAATCCCCATTGAATCATATAAAAGAAAAGGTGTTCAGCGAACATTACTCTTTTCGGCTATATCATTCCCAAGTTATATATATATATATGCAGTTGTACAGCTTGAGAATGATATCGCCGAAACATAAAACTATTTTAAACTGTCCCAACGTAAATTGACTGTAAAATAAGGTGTGAAGACGATGGTAACATCACTGAACGGTTTTCACCTAACGACGAATTTAAAATGGTGGGGAGAAAAGCATTGTGCGATTACGATAACAGATGTGGTAAGTATTACGTAAACCTGCGTAAACAACTAAAGTTGATAAACTTGATAATAAAAGTCATGACGACAAAAATCTTTTTGACTGAACACTAGTCAGTAACTAGTGTAATGTGTCTAGTCCTATCTTCGGTGCAGACTGAATTCTATCAGTCAAGCTTGCAATGTGGCCACCATGCTAGGTGGCTTGCCATTATGGTGCACTGTCAATTGTTGGTATTAGATGGTTGGAGGCAATCGGCAGGAAGCCTTGAACGTAGGTTTCGCGATAGAATTCAGTCTGCACCGAAGATAGGGCTAGACACATTACACTAGTTAATGACTAGTGTCCAATCAAAAATATCCAATACAGTCCTACATGAGGTCAATTGCGAGCCCGAATAGCTCAGTGGTAACGTCTCTGACTGCAGCACTGGGTGATGCGGGTTTGAATCTCAGAAGGGAAATGAGTTCCTTCGAGGCTGCAGACACGCCTTGCTGATGAGTGCCAGCTAGCATGAAACCTAGGTCCAAGGCTTCCTGGCGATTGCCTCCAACCATCTAATACCATAATCTTTATAATAAAGTTTTGTCAGTGAAACAGGAGTAGAGTGGAACAAGATAACCTATGGACATTAAACTAAACCAATAAAGGAGTTTCCTTAATAACATAATATGATCGCAATAATTCACCAAAGGAAGCTCGAATACTGTTCCTATCCCTGTCCGAAGAGGATGAAATTAGTTCCAGAAAACCTGTATCTAGACACTCTGTTTACTATTATCTTGCAATAGAGGAGACATTAAATTGTAAACGCATTGATAATTAACACCTAAAACTCTAATTCCATTTTTTTCTATTATGACAGTGTTGACTTGAATAAATCCGTCACTAAATGTGTTGTGACGAATTTTTACTGTTTTTTTTTGGTTGTTGTCTATCCTAACTACAATGAGCCTTCATACACTACACTTTAGTCTGCTGATCACTTGAAAACATTACGCAGAGATAGACACAGAAGTCAGATTTAACTGTGAAAACCGTGACAACAACTTAATTATTCACAATACAGGGTATATATATTTATATATATGTCCTCTGCACATCCACGGAAATTTAAACCATAAATAGAAAATCAGTATCTAATTGATTATATGATCTTGAGCATTCTCCGAAATAAATCAGTCAAAAACCGTCCGATGAGGTTATCCTTCTAGTCAGTGCATCAATTATGACTTTCTGGCTATCCACGATAGGTTGTTCGTCCTAACATTTTCCTTCGCTTTTCATCGGCAAAGTTTTACTTTGGAGGTTTAAAGTCTCACGACTTTTCTTACCAAGTTTATTAACTTTAGTTATTTATGTAGGTTTACGTAAGACTAAGTGCGTTGGTGGCATAGCGGTTAGGACGCTCGCGACCATGCACATGGTCCGAGGTTCGATCCCCGGCCGACACACTCCTTTACCTCGCCAAGCCAGAATTAATGCTGGTGAAGAGGAAAGGTTGGACGTGAGGATAGCAACCCTATCCTGTAAAATAAGCACTGCTGCAGAAACTTCAAGCCATTAGCTTGAAGCCCTATGTTCCATTGGGAACGTGGAGGAAAAAAATACGTAAGACTAACCATATTTGTTTCTGTATTCGTGCAGTCCTTTTCTTTTCCCTATTTTAAATTCATTGGCATTTTAAAATCATTTACTGCTATCACCAGTATCTTCACGCTATTCTATTATTGTTATTATTATTATCATTATTATATTACCATAATTGTTACTTATCATCCGTTGATGTCGCATCCATTGTATCGCACTTATTTGTTTATTTCTCATAAACTGAGTCTGTTGCAGAATGATTCTCAAACCGTATTTATCAATCATTATTTTCATTTTATAATAAAGTTTTGGTAGAAATGAATAATGAAGAAGTTAAATACGATAATAACTTCATAAATAATTCATCGTCGTCATCATTTCGTGTCCCGAAATGCACACGATGTCGTAATCATGGTGTAATATCATCACTAAAGGGGCATAAGAAACATTGTCGTTGGAAAAACTGTCATTGTGCTGCATGCCTACTCGTTGTTGAACGTCAGCGTGTTATGGCAGCACAGGTTGCTTTACGCAGGTGAGCAGTTTAATAGATTATTTGGATATTTTGTAGATTATATATATATATATATCAGTAGTTAGTGATAACTGGTTGCACCGATTACTTCTGTGCTGAGACATTATGCAGCAGGCTAATTGAACACTAAAGTATAGCATCCTTCAGATTTCAGCTTTTGTAGATTTCGTCACAAAGCAGCATCTGTCAAGGAATCAGTGAAAACCAAGAAGTATTGAACCGCAGTTCCATCTTTGTTTGAAGCTAGTCAGCAGTGCCCCGCTCACGACCCTCATGTTGAGCAGTGAACCTCTTGACCATTCAACCAGTGGAATAAGTTTCAGTGACCTGTGAAACCTAATTTCCCCCAATTCATGTCATATCACTGCTACCAACCAGTTCCATCACTGAGTATCGGCTTTACAGTTCACACAGTGGACCCTACTGGTCCATGATTTCTCACTGTAACTCCCCAGCAGGAGATCAGTATTCAGATTTGTGACTTTGTAGGTTTCCAAGCCACAAGTCGGTTCATGGTGAGATTTGAACTAAAATAACCTGCTTGTCTCCTATCCAAGCGATATCGCACCATAATTTCAATGACACGACAAGTAATAAAAACGCCTAGAAGTAACAGAAGATACACATTGGTAATTACAGGGATTGATTGGTGTATATAGCAAAAATGCACTGCAGTTAAGTATCATAGTTTGGTGCCCACCATAAAATCTCAAGGTACTGATCTCTGATTTGTGTAAAACTAAAATGGTGGGCGTTAAAATTTCTCAGTGTTTTCTTTGAAATTTCAGCTTATGAGAGTGTATTTATGCGTGTAATATTATTATTATTATTGTATCCTTTAATTCCTAGAGGAATATAGGGCTTCAGCCGTGCGTCTCCATTGCGTTCGGTTCTCTTCTACAGTCTTCACCTGGCTCCAAGTCTGCCCACACGTTTTCATCTCCTCTTCACATGACCTCCTCCAAGTCACCCACCCTCGCACTGACGACCAACTCGCCACTTCCCTTTCGGGTTCCACTCGAGCGATGGCTTGTCTAGTGATGTCACTTGATGGTTTCCACAGAGTATGGCCAATCCATCTCCATTTCTTCCTGCCTATTTGTTGCACAATCGCTCCCTGGTTGGTTCGCTCCCAGATATCCCTCCCTGTTGCTGATCTTTCCTAGCCTGCCATCTGATATTGAGTATTGAGAGAAGACAACTGTTGGTGAAGGTCTGTAGTTTGTTTGAGATGCTCTTTATGACGCCCCAAGTCTCTGATCCGTATAGTAGCACTGACTTCACATTGGAGTTGAAAATCCGGATCTTATTTTTGATGCTGAGTGTTGTTGACCTCCACACAGACTTGAGAGTAGTGAAAGCTTGTCTTGCTTTTCCGATTCTTGCTTTGATATCCTCGTGCAATAGCTTAACCCCTAACCTAAGAGTTTATTTCAATAGACAATGTAATTAATTATGTAAGGAATTCGGTTCTTAAGCTAATGTAAGAATAGAACCAATGAGACCAGAGATGGAAAGTTGGCCGAAATGTCCGACGATACTCAGTTTATGAAACAGTTACTCTACTGGCCTCAAAAAGATTTTTAAAAATTTCCAGTAGATGAATTATTTAACTTCTACTAGTAAGCTTTCACATATTTTCCTTAAGAAAAAGCCACTACCTTTATATTATGGATGAGAAGCCTTCTACTCTAATTTTGTGCAATATCCAAAACTATCAACTTCCTACTTCTGATTTCTATTCTCTAACAATAAAAGACAATGCATCACAGCGTCCTGTAACTTAAATTAATGCCTTGAAGTGAAACTAGTTTGAATTAATAAGGGGATATCACTTCCTCTGAGGCTTGAAACAGTTCCTGCTGAAGAGTGCCGACAAGCAAGAAACCTAGGCCAAGGTTTCTTGTCGACCACCTTAAAGTATCTAATAACAGTGCAAAGTGCACTGCAATGTCGAGTCTGTTAAGCTGGTCACTACACTGTCAACATGATCTGTAGAATTCACTTAGCAGCACTAAGAACCATATATATAACACTGGTTGCTTCTTAGTCACCAAATCATTGTAAACTGGTAGTTATAAGAATAATTAACTAGTAACTGAATAACGGCAACTGTTACCTCTGGATGACGATTCATGCAGACGTTATTATAACTAAAGGCTGAAATAAGGTAATAAAGAGTGAACAGGCAACCTTCTGCTATTGAAATAGATTATAGGATATGCTTATGTGGTTGGTTACAGAGGAAAGGTAAAGTGGTTCCTTTGAAAAGAATGTCCTTTGTGGAAGTCCTTTTCTTAACATTCATGAATATGTGGTAGAAATAAGAAAAAAGCACGAGACAATCAGCTATGATTCATTAAAGCAACAGCTGGATGTTAAGCGTGATGATTTCAGTGAAACGATGACCTGACCAGCAACTAAGTCTTGTATTTCGTTTGGTAGAATGCCTAGCCAGTAAGTAATATGGTTCGAATCATGTCGCTACCTAGATTTTAATATCATGCATTACATACAAGGCAATCTGTCAACTCAAAGCTAACCCAAACGGTCTTATTATGAATATATATATGAATATTTCAATTCCCTAAATTGTGGACAAAATCTCACCTATTTTAATCATTTTCATCCACAATTGTGTATTTTGCGAGAGGAAATCTTGATTAAACTTGACACTACTTATCTCTACTAACTGGCTTTCGTGGCGCAGTAAGTAGTCTAGTGGATAACACTTGGTATTTGAAAAGATGGATGCTGGAAACTAGTCTCAGTGGGGACACCATGACTCACCATGGGTGTGAGAACATTTCAATAACAAGTTCAAAATGAAAAACCAAACGCGAATCCTTGATTGCGCTGTTAGCCACCATAAACTGAATAGCATTCCGTTCATCTCTGGGCACCGTTGAAACATACGTACTAGACATTGCAACTGAGACTCAGAATTTCCGTCAGATAAAAGCTAGTCAACAAAAGACCCAAAATAACTTCAGCAAATACCCATTAACCTAATATCGAAAGCTCTATACAGACTGGACTGTTCACTAATTGATTAACAGGTGTAATAACGCCCCACTAGACATATCATCCTTAGCACGTCCTTACTCAGTGAGTCAGTTTTCACACCCACCAGAACTCTAACAGACAGATAGATTAAGTTAGTATTAACCATTTCCAACTTAACATTATTCCCTCTTTTTGTTCATCATTAAGGCAACAAACATCTCAAGCTTCAGAGAACTCAGTCTACTCAGAAAATATGGTCCATCACAACCAACGAAAATACATGATGAGAAATATGTGTGAAAGCCATCAGGTGAATCACATATGCAAATCACCGTTACTAAATTATCACAACGAAAATAACACTTCATCGACGTTGATTAACTATAATTCTAATAGAGAAGGAGTTATGGCAACTTCGTCTATGAATGGCACATTTGAAGACTACAAACACTTAGAGGAATTTACACCTACCGATTGTGATGTAAATAATCATACGGATACATTTAATAAGATGAATGAAGTTTCAAAGATGGGTAAGTTGTATTTCATACACACGTATGTGTGTTGTTTAAATTGCTAAAATTTATAACATCGGATAATTTGTTGTCGAGTGGAGTTGAATACACAACGTCACTGGTATATATATATATATGGTAGGGTTAAAAATCTCTTAGTTTTGACACTAGACAGAGGGAAGAAAATTCCTGGTTGAAAAAAAACGAAAAAGAATCGGACAGACCTCAGGCAAACAAAAAGATTGTTGCAGATAAGATTTTCTTTCTTTTTGACAAATTCATCAACCAGGATGTACACTCGTTTATATTTGACGAAGTTAAGAATGATCTCGAGTGACTTCAAATCAGTGATGAAAATATAGTGAACTGTGTGTCGGTGGCCCAGTGGTTAGGACTCCCGCCGACCATGCACATGGTTCGGGGTTCGATCCCCCTCCGACGCACATCCGATATCTATGGTCGGTCTGCAAAATTTGGGCTACCGATATCTATGCTGAAAATTCCACACTTGTGCTGAAAATACGATGTGGCATCAAGCTGTAATCAAAAAAAATAATAATATAAATTTGGATTAGATTGAGAACATAAACAAGGAGTTAAGATAGACAATCTAAGTTTAATAGGCATATTTCTCTGTTTAATGAATAGCAGGGTAGTGAACCAGTCTCTGCGACTTTTAATTAAACCTTCTGAGACAAAACTTCATTGTATTATTATTAGTACTCTTCCCTTGGATTCCAAGTGGAACATAGGGATTCAACAACATATTACAACTGTGTTTTGTTCTCTGCCATCTTTTCCAGCTGACTCCAATATTGCCCGACAAGATTTTACTTCCGCTTCCATAATCTCCATCCAGATTTCAGGTAGAGAGTTGACTGCCATTCTATTCATTGTTCGATGATGATACGCTGCGTTGCAATTTGATCTGTGCATGATCTGATTCCCCAAAATCCAATATTTTCTCGATGGAGTTTTGACGTTATGGCGTCCTTTAGTCTATCCAAGATTACTCAACTGAATATTTTACTTGTGATGGACAGGAGCATGAATCGGTGACAGTTCTTGCAACTGCTTAAGTTGCCCTTCTTTGGGAGTTTGATACAGCAGTCCTTTGTCTAATCTGTGGCCACCTCTTCTTCCTTCCAAACCTTCTTCACTTGTGGTGTAATCATATCCGCTGAGGTCTCTGTGTGTTTGGATGAATTCCGTTTGATCATGACCTAGGGTATAATCCACTCTAATTTGAAATGATTCCTTCTAGGACGTATTCATATGCATTCCAAAAATAACTAATACGATTTCACTATAGATCACAGTCAGATCCACAAGACTGATCAGTCCTCCATAAAAGTCAAACTAAGGCAAAGTGCTCATTTTAAAAAGAGCAATTTCGTTACATGCAAATACCTCCTGAGATATTTTAGCGAAAAAACCAAACTGAAGGAGAAATGATGATATCACATGCATTTTTGAAAGTCTGCTATGTGACTTTTTGTTTCAGTTACATAAGGACAGTTGGAAACAATTCCTTTAACCTGAAAGCGTGCTCGTAGACTTCAGTATGTATTGTGTACTTTAAAATACTTAAGCGTGATAGGCTGTATAATAGCTGAATTTCAATTGGTGACTATCTATAAAGATCTTTGGGAAGAACGAATTTTCTGCCCCACAGCGTTCCCCTGTTTCCACGCCAGAAAGTTCACGAAAACTGTCCACAGAATCTCTTGACACTCATAGTTTGGGCGATTATATAGCATATCCCTTTTTTGAAGTGGCACCACCTTCATCCGTTGGGTATTAGGACATTTCAATAAATAGGCCAAAATATACCAGCATGATTTTATGAAAATTCACTAATGTACGTTTAACTTTTGAACTTACTGCCTCCTTTAAACCATTACACCAGACAGATATCAGTATCAAGCCAGATTTTCTGATAAAAGTACAGCAAATGTAATGCATTTCAAGAATACATTGGCACCAACAATATGTACACCAGAAGAAATTTTTTTAATGCAAAATTTCATTTAAAACGCATACGAAAAAAAATGTAAACCACCAAAGCAACGGACTACAACGCTATGATTATCAGGGATATGCAATGAAGTCAGTCTTTAGTTTTAACTTTACAAAATGACCATACTGTTGAAGTGGAGTTAAGCGAATCATTCATATTTATACTTTTGAAGTTTTCCTCAGACGTGTTTTTTTTCCTTCACGTTCCCCAGTGGAACATAGGGCTTCAAGCCTGTAGCTTGAAGTTTCTGTAGCAGTGGTGTTTGTTTTTACAGGATGGGGTTGCTAGCCCCATGCCCAACCTTTACTCTTCCCCAGTATTAATTCTGGCTTATCGAGCTAAAGGAGTGCGTCGGCCTGGGATCGAACCCCGGACCATGTGAATGGTTGGCGAGCGTCCTAACCGCTATGCCACCGACGCCCTCAGATGTGTAAAATACATAAAAACCTCGAGAGACCATGACTGTTTCTACTCAGGCATGTCATTTTAAGTAAGCGATAGTATATCTCTGCCTCGACGTTTGCGCAAACATATTACTGTTGTAACACTCCATTCTTCAGCAGTACACGTAGTTCTCAGAGTATCACCATGAAGTAAATCGTTCACTCTATAATAGTAAATGTTCTTGGTTTTAAATCCAGCCATTAGGGCCTTCCTTTCACATACAAGCAACCACTACACCTAGTACTGCTTGTTGGACCATAATCTTATGGAGCCAATTGTGGCATGAATGATCTTGTCACTAGATGATGCATTTTTGAACTTTTGCTCTAGCGATTACGTCTCAGCAACAACTCCTGACAAGCATATATTAATGTAGTACAATGAAATTAATTATCAGTTTGTACGAATTAATAAGTTTTCTGTTTAATACATGCTTTTGTCAAGATATTATTCATTATGCTATGGTATTTTTGCACACTTAGAAAACCTGACACATCAGAGTGTATTATCAGATAATTTCATTGGTGAAATAAGCAGTTATCGTTCATATTTAATGAATACTGACGTTCTTCGAAATGAGTGTAGCACAGTGAATTCAAATGTTGCTTATTATCAGAATAAAATAATCTACGAACATTTGTTAAATGGGATTAAAAAGTCAACTATTGAAAATGAACAGAAAAATTATATCACCAGTGGTTTAATAGAATCTAAGCAAATGAAACAAGTGAAGACTCTTCAGCTGCAATTCTATGATTTAGTGAGTTTTTATAATCAACTTCAGAATAATGTGACAATTAACAAGGAAAAAGATTTGGTTCTCAATACAAACTGTTCGTTCAATCAAGTAAGATTAATATTAGTGATCAATTAAAAATTTTAATTTTACGCATAATTCATTGTCTAGATAACTGTTAACTAAAAGAAGAAGAATTACTTTGATAAGAAGATAAACAAAAACATTTTCTTTGTTAGCGTTTAGTGCTCACTTTTCATTTAATTAATCAGGTTGGTCTGTGTCATCACAGATCATCTCTATTCCTCATGAAAACGAATGTGACCAATAACACAGTACACATTTGTTAATTAGTAAAAGATGTTCTTCATAATGCAAAGATATCTGAATAAATTATAATATCCCAGCAATTTAACGACTTAACTTACTGATAGACGCAGCCATATTTAATACACAAACATTCAAGTAGGTAGTACTCAGTGAAGTTTATCTAGAAGAAGCTGAAATGAGTAGCAAAAGTTATCTTTTGAGATGGTAAAGTGAAATTTGTAGCTCAGGTACGTTCTTACAATGTTTTTATATGGTTTGAGTCAGGTGGCTTAATTATAAAATTATTCCTGTCTTTCTCGACAGCATTTTCAGTTATAACAGCAGTGTGAAATGACACTATGAAATTAACCATGAATGATACGCCTGTCCTTACTGATAAACTTCCCTATGTTTAGCTGCATTTACACAAATAAATTCTGTGAAGATCAGTAATTTGGTTTACTTCGTAGTTGAACTAACTCACACGTGACTTTTACTATATTAATTGATATATTTGATCTGTATTCATGTCTGTCAAGGGCAGGGTGATCCAAAAAACGAGCTCAAAGAAAATATCTCACGATATTTCTTAGCTAACTGGCAAAATTCCAAAAATATCGGTAGTTATCCAAAACCACTGATGTGAGAGAATTCAGGTCATGACTCTACATCGAATAAGCTTAACACAACAGCCTAACTGAATGGATCAACACTGATACACACTGTTGATTTATAATGACTGCAAGAATAATCGCTTCTTACACCCAAACCGACTGCAGTTCAGACTAATTAAAGGATAAGTTGTAATAGAAGCTGTCTAGTTGGTTCCTGAAAACACGATGCTGAGAAAAAATAACTAATCGCGTACCTGACATGGACAGTAAGACTAATGCTGAGAAAGTGAGGTGTTATGTCCAGTAAAGTGTAGAAACAGCTGCAAATCCAATCAGGTAAGCAGTTTTATGTCCTGGCTCTCAATGCTACTCCTAAACCTGGAAGTCCACGTGAACCAGCAGAATAATCTCCTTACACCCATAAGGAGATATTTTAAGATACGCCCAGTTGACCATGTGGAGTTAAATGAATAACCACGGTTGGGTCTCGTATGTGTGTCTCCGAAACACAACATATGTTCAAGGCTCGAGATACTAGAGTTCTCGCTAGTGAGGCCTGTTTTCCGATTTGGTGAATTTTCCTGGAGTTAAATGCCGTAATATGAAGTTGTCAGTCTAGCTTTATTGCTTTTCGGTTTCTGGTCGCTGATGATGTTCGCAGAGTTAAAAGAAGGTGGCCAACCTAGTCGTTGAATAGTTTTAACAGTGATGAACAAGCAAGAGTATGAAAGTGAGCAGTAAATAAGGAGGCTTTGTGTGCTTATGTAATTATGTGGGTGGTTAGCACTTGGTGGTTTTCCACACATCTGAAGTTGATATGTTCTTGAAATACATGAAACACAGTGAGTGTTAGTGTTTCATGATTCCAGAGCGCATGGGCATGTTCCTAAGTGCTGGTCAGCTTTAATCATTTGAAAATAAATCCAGGTGTTTTGAGGAAGACTGAAACTTTGCTTGATTAGATGATGTCCCTTGGGATATGCGCTAACGTACTTCAACCAATAAAACCACTGGGATTACCGGAAAACTTCGTTTCCATTATCTTAAAGATATCGTGTTATATAAGCCGATTTGTGAGGATGTGTGCGTGCTACTTTTAAAAATAAACATGAATAATGATCGTGGAGAAAATTTAGTTTAAGAAGATGAGGTAACGTGACAGTGAAGGAGGGCATAGAAATATGATGAACAACTTACTTATGAAAAGAATGTTGGTGTTGTTTGCAAACATAGACTGAATGAGAGTTTTAGTTTTATATCAATTACTGCAGTCATTATAAATCAACAGTGTGTATCAGTGTTGATCCATTCAGTTAGGCTGTTGTGTTAAGCTTATTCGATGTAGAGTCATGACTTGAATTCCCTCATATCACTGGTTGTGGATGAACTCTTACAATTTAGAAATTTTAGACATAATAAATGCTAAATGCGCGATGTATCATCTTGTTTATATAGGTGATAAAGAGTGAGCCTTACTGATTCACGTCTGCAGAGGCCAGAGGCCATATTCTTTTCACTCACTTCCTGTTCTGAGTAGTTTGGTGAGTTATGTCCATGTTAACTACCTTTATGCTAGCAACGGACTACTGTCATATAAAGCGAGAAGTACTACTTTCGGCATCGAACTCTTCTAACCACGGTTACTTCGGTAGTTCGCAGAGACGAAATAACCTGCTTTTTGATCTCCCGAGAGTAACAGCATACTTTTCCTACATCCTTATTCATCAGTAATACGACTACACCGGTGTACTGACAACATGTGTGGGTGACTTACGCTGTATGTGGATCTTCTTTTAGTATAACGCCTACGCAGACGACATTCCTGATATTTAGGACCTGTTTTGCCCTCAACGAATTAATGGATGAATGATTGAATAATATCATAGTTTAGATATTTTACAATGACGCATTTTACTGCTGTTTCCGTATTCTTTATCGTTGAGAAATGTCTTTTCTTATTGCCACGAACAGGTTAAACCGGAAATGCAGGAAGCAGACAGTTGTCAGCATGAGTCGCATCAATTATCAACGATAGTCATGCCAGGTGCTAGAAATGCATCTTGTGGTACCACTGCTGGAACTAATACTGCATATAATAAACGATGCCCAACAACAACAACAACAATGACTTCAAGTTTTACTTTACCAGAATGTCAAGAAGGTGAAATATACTCAACAAGTGAATCATGTACATCTCTTCCTATTTGTTATGTAACAGGAGATATGATAAATTATCAGTCGGATTGTATTTCTGCAAGACATCCGCCAACACAAATGTTCTACCCAATAAAGTTCTCTGTTTCTAGTATACTAAACAGTGATGTTTAATGTATGTTATCTTATTAACTGAACAAAACAGCTTTAATTTTTACAGAGTGAACTCTCTCTATCCGTTTGTGAGATCTATTGTTTTTTGGAGAAAAAGAAAATAATATCAAGAGAAAACTAAAAATATCCATCTACTGATTTGGACTTTCTTATATTAGGAAAGGACTTATTAATTATAAATGTACACTTCTCCAGATTACACAGACATTTCCTATCCGATAACTGATGGAGTTACAATTTCGTGAACAGAGTGTTTCATTATTCGATAGAATTGTTCGAAATTGGTCTGATAGCTTCGATTTCAGCATGGGTAAATTAGTGTTGACTATTGTTTAGCGAATGGCTTCGGTGGCACAACGGTAGAATGCTCGTCGACCACGCATGTGGTCCATGGTTAGACCACTGGCCAACGCACAACTTTACCTCGCTAAGCCGGTGATAAGACTGGTAAAGACGGAAGGCTGGGCATGAGTCTAGCAAATCCATACCGTAAAAATAAACACCATTCCTACCGAAACTTCAAGCCTCTAGGTCGAAGCCCTATGTTCCACTTAGAACGTAAAGGTATAAAAAGAGAAAATGGCTTGTCGATTTTCTAGCAAGTGAAGTCTTATTCTTTTGGATTCCGGATAAAAACATGGCATCTCCACCTTGTTCTATTTTGCGCTCTCCTCCTCAGCTGGGTACACGATTACCCATAATCTATCATCTCCTCCTGGACACACGATCTCCTACATGTCACCCTCCCAACGACGACCCACTCGTTGCTTTCCATTGGAATTCCACTAGAGCGATGACCTGCATTGAGCGCGATGTCATTCGACGGCCTCCTCGAAGTATGCGCGTTCCGTCTCCATCTTATCCTACATATTTGTTGAGCAATCGGCTCCGGGTTGCTTTGTTTCCGGCCAGAGTTTCTTGTTGCTAATTCCTTCTGGCTAGCCGGCCATTTGATCTTCAGTACGAAGCCAGGGAAGGGGGCAGCTGTTGATAAAAGTCTTCAGTGGTCTGTTGGAAATCCTTCTCCTGTCACCCGTGTAGAAGAACTGACTGACTTGACATTGGTGTTGAAAGCCCGAATCTTGTTGTTTATACTGAAGCGGAGTGCAGTGCAGAAGATTTCCAAACTGGTTTCAGGTTGATGAAGGCGTGCGTATCTTTTTCTTCCGATTCTGACTGGCTGGCTTGCTAGCTGGCTGGTTTTGACATCTTCATTCGTTCCGATTGTCTGTGGTTGAGACGATGCTTCCTGCCTGGATAAGTGAAGGAAATAACCTCTGTCAAATCGCCCTCGCTGATGGTGATTGGTGGCGGTTGTTGTTGTTGTTGCTGTTGGTGCGTGGTTATCTTCATTACCTCCAACTTCTCTATATTCACATGCATTCCTTTCATCAGTGTCCGCCTCTTCTGCCAGTTTGTTGGTTTTCGCCTGCAAGTCTTCGAGTTTGTGTGATATTAAGCATAAATCATCCACGCGCGAAATCCAGATCTCCTAGAGTCTTCTTATCGGTAGGTGCGGAGAATTTCCCCCTTCTTACTCACAACGCATAGTCAGACGCATAGTCCAGTCCACCAAAATTAGAAATATCATCGGTGGTGGTAGTGGGTAGCCTCGTCTTACTCCTGTATTCACTTCAAAGCCAGGCTTCGCTGAGTTTTCCGTTGTGGATCACCTGACCTGTGGCGTTGTCATATAGCCAGCTGTTGAGTGAGGTTGATAAATATTTGGAGCACTTCACGATGTGGTGTTGAATTAGTTTCCAGATTACTTGGCGGTCAACGCTGTCTGTCGAAGGCCTTTTCGAAGTCGATGAAGTTGAAGTGCATGTTTAACTACCGTTGCATACTTTGTTCGATGACGATTTGTAGAATTGCCATTTGATTTGCACATGATATATATTTGCTGAATCCCACTTGTCCTGGGCTGGTGGATTTCTGCATCTTCAGTACGCCATAAGGTGTACATTGACAGCCACTTCTCGTCCTGTCTCTTCCTTGTTCATAGAAAAGTTGTACACGTTTCCTTGAATATCAACTTCAGAGAGTTACAATGTTCTTCCACACAAGTCTCCTCAGTGATACCACCCAGTTTCTCTGACTTTACTCTGATCTGATCTGTACTGAAGTTATTCCTTGTGGTTTTTTCCTTCGGTTTCTGAAGTTGAACTTGAATTACAGGGGTCTGTCTCTGGTTGTTGTGAAGGCTTCCAACTTTACCTTGAAGACTCCTTGAACTGGATGAATGTCTGAGCACACATCTACTCGCCTGCTCGAATATGTGTCCAGCAGACTGCGTCTCCACTTCCTTGAGCAGTATTGAGTTTGAAGTCTATCTGGTTTGTGGTATGTCCGTTAGGCGAAATCCATGTCGCTGATCTTGTGTATATTCTTGTGCTTGTACAAACTTGATCAACAAATCATTCGAAACACAGAAGTTTGTGAAGAGTTCTTCGTCCTCATTCATTTCTCATAGAGCTTCTTGACTCATGGTGCGTTCTCTTCGTGTATTATATGCTCCAAGTTCGGTTGGCATTCATATCGCCCATTAGGACTTCTGTGTCACCGTTCGGGATGTTGTCCATTACTGTCTGTAGTTGTCTGTAGAAATTCCACTTCTTGTCAACTGTCTGCGCTGTTTGCAGGTGCATATCATTGAATGATTGTAACCTTCCTTCCTTTTGAGTTGAATCTTACTGTCATTATCCTGCAGGATGAAACTGGTTCCCACTGCATTAGGGCTTTGGCTGCCACTGGTGGCATCATGATAGCTACTCACTTCCTCAGTGTTCTCGTGGTTGTCGTCTGGGTGACCAGAACAGATTACTGACTCTGTGGTTTACAACTATTATGGTCGACATCCATTCTATCAGCTCTCGGAGATTCTCAGCACTGTGCGTCGACGGCATAGCGGTTAAGACGCTCGCCAACCATGCACATGGTCCGGGTTTCGAAACCCGGCCGGCGCACTCCTTTACCTCGCTAAGCCAGAAATAATGCTGGTGAAGAGGAAAGGTTGGGCATGAGGATGGCAACCCCATCCTGTAAAATAAACACTGCTAGAGAAACTTCAAGCCACTAGCCTGAAGCCCTATGTTCCACTGGGGAACGTGAAGGAAAAGAAGAAGAAGAAGAAGCTATGCCATATCTTCTCATTTCTTTGGCTAACCTGCTATGCCTTCTCAGCCTTGTGCGTATATTTCACATCCCCATTCTTAATCTTGCTTTCATTGAGAGTAGACTCATCGGCAGACTGACTGGCTTCTTGAAGGCTTTCACCAGCCCGCTGTGTCATTTCGCTTCTCCAGTGCAAGCGAAGAAAAGGTTTGTTTTATACATTTTTTGTATTTCTAATATTTTTCTTGTGCGTTGAAGTGTCTGTATTAGTTTGATTTGTTTTGTGGTGTAGGGTCGCTAGTCCCACGCTTAACCTTCCCCTTTTACTGGGGCTTGTGACCGGCTAGAAATCTCGCGAGCTACTATACTGGGCGAGATTGGTTTCGGTCATGTATAGTGTTATATATATTTTCATTTCGATGATTGCTTACAATCAATAATGATTTTTTTCAATTTGGTACTGTTTTGTGCAGCATTACTAGTGTAACAACAGAAGGCAAGGGTCAGGCAACAGATCATTTATTAAGGAAATCAACGCATATTTATATATTTTCATGTACATTACTATGGATATTTAAGTAAACAAACACAGTCTTCCGATTGGTTGTTTCTCACGTAAAGCTAATCTTTCATCTATTTGTGACTGTTTCTTGAATGTCAAATCCTCTATATGTTAACAGTATCCGCCTACGCAAAGTCTGCTGTGGTTGGTTTTGAATCAATCTTTGTTCACATTTTCTCACGACAAATCTTGGGAACGTAAATTACTGTCTACTAATTTGGCTAGTAGACAGCTCTCACCAGACTAGCAGTGATATATAGTCTAGGCAAATCATTTCACCGACTTCTGGCTTTTCTTCTAGAGTAAACTTAAGGCTGGGTGATTATTTGTTCGATTTCTGCAAGAGTGAATGGTGTAGGTATTAATACTGTATCACTGTGTGTGATACCATATCAACATATCTAAGCTGAGTATTAGAGGTCCCATTCTAGTACTAGATGGTATCAGAAACGTATCTTGACCATAATGTCGGTCTGAGTATGTTTGATACATGTTATCGTCGAGTATTGCTGAATCTGGTGAACCCATACCTACATCGCTTGTCCGTCTATATAAATTTCCTTTAAAATGTAAAATAAATAATTCACAGACACAATTATAAGGCTTTTGATTGCTGGTGTTCAGTGGACATCTTTTTGATAGGTTCGTGTTCGACCATAGTGAGCTGAAACCGATATCGAGATTTCTGGTAATGAGAATACTCGTATATAATACGTTAGTATCATAGCTTCCATAATGTTTTCTTAATCAGTCTTCTGGTTTTCTATCGTGGATTCAAATGAATCTTTAAGAACATGTTGAGTTTGGTTTTGAAGAGTTCTTACGTGAGTGGGTTGATATAATCCGTTGCTGGTCTTAATGGGACTATCATTATGTATATTGTAGTTGACCATAGAATCTTCGGGGTACATAAGATTTCGGTTTCAGTCTAAACCAAAGTAAATATCCGACTTAGAGTTTTAGCTCCTTTAAGTTTGATGGTATTGATTTTCATCCTGTTAATTTCAGCCCACTTCTTGTTCTCTTGAATAAGTATATATGATCTGTTGGATAGTTCTTTAGTTTCCCTCTTTCAGTAGTCCGTTCTCTTCATTATGAAGGTGTATGCTCTGTATCAGGGGCGATGACAGTACATTCTCTGGATTTACTACAAATGATGTTCTAGAATGTCTCCAATCTATAAACCCGACTTGTAGCCTGGATCCCGATGGTTTGCCAAGTGTTATTCTTAAAAAGTGTGCAGATATCCTGTGTTATCCTCTCATGGACGTATTTAACGAATCTTTTTCCAAAAATGTCGTGCCAGCCGTTTGGAAGGACATTA